TTTTTTTTTTTCGGAAACACTTGGATATCTTTTTAGTTTTTACTTTTCAAAATAAAAATCACTGCTTGAGATGTTTTTCAGTCGACGTTCGACAACAAAGTGATCTTTTAACTCATTTTACAGATTCACACCATTTAGGTAAAGAATTGAACTATGAGAGCCATATATTTACCTGCTTTTCTAAACAAATATCCTCAAGGTTGTTTGTTTCTTATCCGCCCGCTTCACCATGGGGTCATTCACGAAATTCTAGTGCATCTAGTTTTTGATAAGACTTCACTAGAAAACTAGAAAATTCTAGTGCGTGAAGTTGGCTCTCAGTATTTTTTCATATAAATTATATGGCCTTCGGTGTGAATTTGGCTTCGTTTGTGACATCATTCTTCACACTAGATTTACTAGTTTTTCTAGTATTCACTAGCGTGATTCGCTTCATGCGCTTCACATATTCGATCCGTAGAAAAGTGAAGGGAAGATAGTCTTACGTGTGACATGCCTTTTCATTATGGCAAGTAAGCTCTTTTTTCTTCTTTGTTATTTTCTAGAATTTTGAGTAATGATTTTCACTATTTTTGTAAATTTTCAGCATTTGTAAATCTACTGCAATTAGGGAGAGGTTTGAATTGGTTATTTAGAAGGCAGCCAAGATATATTCACTGAGTTTACTTATTTTTTTTAAAGTAGTCATTCTAGGCATACATACTTAAAAATTACAATTCCATTAGTCTACAATTCCTGATCCATTCCTTCGATTCATTTTCCATTCTGTTTCATTACCTATTGATTAATTTCCATTTTTTCCATTCTTTTCTTCTGATCAACTCTAGCTAGTCATTCTAGTGAAATAATTATCACATTGTAAAATGTACAATTCTAGACAGATGAATGACATGAATTTGCAAAAGACGAATAAACTGATATGGTGTTTTTGTCCAAACCAGGTCAAAAACCTCTTTTCAGAGGTTTGCCTAAAAACCAATTGTCAATTATTGTCATAAATAGCACGGATTGGGCCCCTCTTTGCTACCTAAAAAACACAAAAAAGGATATATATTGTCGGTGTAGAAATTGTTGCTTGTCTTTTTGTTTGAAGTAAAATAAAATCAAGTGCGGTCCTAAGAAATAACGTATCAATATTTAGTTTCTCGTTATTTTTGTAATAAGCTTTTCTATGTTTGAAACAAGAGAGAGAAAAAGAGAGAGGGAGCGAGTGAATGAGCTAGTGTGTGGCACGAAATAATCGTAATTTTTTTGATTTTGTGAATTTGGCCTTGTAAAACTTCTCAAAGCTTTATTTTGATTGTTCTATTTTGTTGTTGCCAAATTGTGTCTGTGTTTGAATTAGATGCACAAAAAAAAAATAAATAAAATAAAAGAGAAAAATCACACCTACATATTTTTTTAAAAAATCGATAATCGATTTGCAAGAGAACAGAGGTTCAATGTGTGGAACTGTATATCGTTTCTCTATCACTCACTTCTATATCAATGAAAAACAAATTATATCATCATTGGCATTACAATTTTCGTACGAAATGTTGAAATATTCAAATAAAAATAAAAATGCACAAACACACAATCAAATCAAATGAGAATATCAGTTGCAATAGCAAATAAAATAACAACAAACAATTTTAGACATAAAATAAATCCTTTTACATGTTTTTTTTCGGCTCACACTATTCAAGTATAAAACAAAAGAACAAATGTCTCTGCGTTATAATCAATACTGATATAATATCTCTGAACAAAAAATAAAATAAAATAAAACCATTCGTACGGAACTTTAATCCATTATTCCGTAAAAAAACTGTTAGCACATATTAATTATAAATATGAGAAAATATATATACTACATATATATCAAATCTGTTAAAGTTGCCTAAAAATGCTTTTGTTTAGTGAGAAAAAAAATGGACAAAAAATCATTGTGAATTATACCACTTAATGATATTGATAAATAAATAGTGTATTCTACTCTATTCGTTTTATTGCATTTAATTTACATTGGAAAGCGGACCTTTTGAAAAAACATAATAAATCGATGGGAATTTTTAACGAGCGCAAGGAATGTTATTACTCAAGTCATTTTCATTCTTCGCTATACATAGCCTAATGCATTTTGGTTTTCAAACAGTTCAAAGCACATGCTCTTGTGTTTTATGGCTATAAAGACGTCGTTTCCTTAAATTCATTCCAAATTGCAATTTTCCGATAAACAACAGAAGATACACATCTATCTTTGTGATCTAAACGTTGTGGACAGCCCCGTAAGTATTTAAAACACGATTGACAAAAAAAAACAATTCATTCGTGTACAATGCACCTTACTGGTTTTTTTTTTATTTTCGATCCTTTTAACGACTGTTTTTGTAAACACAGACTATAATTATCGTTGGGCGATATATTTTTGTACATTAGTATTTGACGCAGGTAATGAGGGATCATTCATTTAAACAAAAAAAAAGGAAAAGCCTTTTTATGTTCTTCTCGTGGAAGAAGGTGAAAGAGATACGGTAAGAAAAAAATAAATAAATCACCAAGCAAAGCGTGCCTTCAAATTCGAATAAAACACTTGCCCAAACAAATTTATGGCCGATATGTATTTGATCATATGGTCACCATATAACTCGATCAATGTGTGATACAAGCGCACGCGCATGATTTTTTGCAGCGCACATGCTGCAATATGAATAGTTAACGCCGCTCAATGTTGCCTCAAGCCTGATGCATACAAACGAATCGTATTGTCGAAATCAAAAATAGCTTGTAATAGCAGCAGGGACAAAGACGGCAACAACAGAAGCGAACCGTAATAAATAAAAGACATTCATAAAATCACTTATGACAATCGAAGCAAAAGATTTGTATAGTAAAACGGCTGCAAGTTAGAAGAGGTACATATACAATAAAAATGTATATATACATTTTTGCATTAAACCGACTTTCAGCAGTGTGAGCGAGCGAGAATTGTTTTAAAAAGGCCCCCGAATGTAAGGCGTGAACAAAAAACAACAATATTAGTATAACCGATTTTGGACGACACAACAAACACGCACACAGACACCGATATACATGGAGACGGTGAAACAGAGAAAGAGCACGTACACAACAGTGTACACCGATCGTTTGTCTCTCAAAAACACCGATTATACAGAAAAGCCGAAACATTTTAATGTTACTGATTTTGTATTATATATATATATTTTTTCCTCTCTGTTTGTTGTTCGAAAATAATTTTTTCAGTTGAAATTATACTTTCGAATGAACGAGACACACACGACCTTTTTAGCTGATTTCATTTTTGTGTCTACTGTCTTTCCTCTCTCAATGTGTTAATATATTTTAGATTGAACGACAAAGAAAAAAAACCAACAAATTATACGTCTTTTTTTGCACGTAAAAAATTTTTTGTGTGAAGAATTTTTGTTTTTTTTTTGTTTTTTCCCTAGTACTTTGTTTGAATGAACAGAAATAGAAAGAGAAAGGGAGAGGAGAGAGGAAGAGAGACAGAAGAAAAAAAACATACGCCACACATTACATACGATCACGTATATATAGTCAAAAAATGGCAAGAATGAATCGAGCGAACAGATATCTAAGTCGAAATAATTCTTAGAAGAAAACGAATGAGTTGGCGTTCAAAAGCAACCTGTGTATATATACAAATTTAGTTTTCCGTTTTATTTATAGAAAGAAAGTTTTTGAAATTCTCAAATATATCAGGGTTTTACATCAGTTTTGATTGATCGAAAGAAATTTTGAAGCGTGTTGTATGGTATGGTGGCCAAGCAAAAAAAAAAAAAATACAAAAATAAGAAAAAGTTTTGAAAAGAATATCAACAGCCTCAATTCAGAACGAAATAATACACAAAGATATACAAAGTGTCGAATTCATATCGATAATATTAATATTTAGTGCATGTGTATCGAATTGTGTTATTTACGTTTGCTTTGAAGGAAAAAGGCGTTTCTGGAACAAGTGCAATTTTGGAATGCAAAATAAAAGGTGAATTTAGTTCAAAAACAATTTCAAGTTTCTGATTTTTCTTCTTTAGTTTTTTTGTTTTTGTTTTTGTTTTCAGTGTTATTGATATTTATTTGATCAAAATAATGAATAAAAAGTCACGAATACAAAAATCAAGCGGAACAATAACATTTTGTTTTTGTTGTCGTAAAATGATCATTTTATACACGAAATAATTTAAATGTTTTCATCATTCGATATTGAATCGATTCTAGTTTACAAAAGACGCGCGATTTGCCATTCTAGAAAGATTGCGAGTTTTAGTTTTGTTTTTCGGTATACATTTTGATCGTATGTGTACGCCGTGAGTGAACGTAACGCAAATATTATTTCAATTTGTTGTTCATGCCCAACATATGCTGTTGTTTATATATAAAAAAAGAAATATGCACGGCATTGTTTTATTATTTTACTTTTCTGAATAAATTTATTATCAAATGAAAACTGTAGCACTTAACTTATACTCTTTTTTTTCGTGTACAATGTACATGCATGTGTCAGCCACTCTGTGACGATTCTTTGAAAATATGCACAAACAAAATAAGTAAATAACGAAAGAACAAAAAAAAAATGAAATTCGAACGAACAGAATTTCATATCCACTTTTGGAGCATTTCATTGACTCAATATGCTTGATGCATTACTTAATTATTTTCATTTTGCACTTTTGTGTGTTATAATTGTGTGCGCGAGCATGCGTTTACACATTATTTTTAAAATGATGAAAAGGTGGACTGACCTTTCATCTGTCTGAGATGTCTGTTAATATATTATTTTCATGAATCAAAGACACACACTTTTACACATGCAAGCACGCGCGCTTCAAAGTAAACCGAACACATTTCAATATAATCACTTTTCTATTCAATTTAAACTTAATCATATATATATATATCAATTGCATTGTACAAATATGTGCATAATGCATTGCTGAACTTTGAACGATTAAACTATCTTAGAAGAAAGAAAATAGAATACATTCCATAATCATATCGTCATAGGAAGATAACAACATTTCTTCATATTTCCTTTCTCTATTTTTGCTTCTCTCGGGTATGCGTTTGAAATTGAACACATTATTTGAAACAGTGACCATTTCTTCTCTTGTTGTGTCGTATATCGTATGGAAGTAATTAATGATTTTCGAAATGTGTTTTTGTTGTTTTTTTCTATTTCAGATTTAAATTTTGCGTGGAGGGATGGCTAATTAGTGAGTTAAAGCAGCAGTTGATTATAAAAGATTGAAACGAAGTTGTTGCTGTTTTTTTTTTGTCTGACACATATCATCGTATAGCACACATTTGAAAATGGCACAGTCTCCAGCAACAGCAACGGCAACAACAACATTCAAACAAAATGGATTTACACGAAAGCCACACGATATGAATAATCATTTATCGTCATCACCACGCCGAACGGCAATTGGAAAGCCGTCACTACGTTTGTCAATTCCAACGATAGAACAAATTGGCGATACAAAAACTCCGGTGAAATCAAGTCAAACCGATCCAATCAATAAAAAAACTGACTCATTTGTGAAGCGAATGATTGATAACTGCAATCATTCGGGCCAATTACCGTCAAACATTGAAATTAATAACGTGTGCAATGACATTCAAACCAGTAATAGTGAAAATCCTGCCGATGTATGTGATGCGAATCGAGTTAAAAGTGTCATTGAGAAATTGGACAAGAATAAGCGAAGGAATAGTAATAACAACACTAGCGGTAACGGTACCAACAATACCAGCACAAATGGTAAATCGCCCACCGACATTACAATGGCTTCCTGCTTCGACGTCGATAGGAAATTAATGCGAAAGCCAAGCATTGAAATTTTCAATGAGAATGATAAAATGACAACAGACAACGATTGCGACATTAAATGCAGAATTGATTCAAATGGTGTACAACCGCAACAGCTAGATAATTTTTTGTCATATTCAAAATTCGAAAACGATTTTAAAAAGCGCATCAACGAAATCAACTGTAATCGAATTGATGCACAAACACACGGTACATATATCCACATCTATTCATATTTTACATTAAATTTTTAGATATTAAATTGAGAACTGTGCTTTGCTAATGAATAAAAAAAAAACACTTTTATTTCCCTCTCACACATAACGTATATAGATCCAATGACCCTGTTTCCACACATGAAATGCATTTCCACATCGACACCAAATTCACCGTTACAACTTCCGAAACCTCATCTCAACAGGATTGAGCCGCATCTTAGCAGAAATCTCAGCTTAAGCCCGAGCATTCATTATAAATTAGAGCAACACATTGTAAGTGTTTTTAAACATCGTTTAATTTTAAAATTGCCGCGTCGAATGCACTTCTCTAAATAAAAGCAATCTTGTACAAATTATCCGGTTGAGTAGTGGTGTTTTGCGAGCATGCAAAAGAAATTATAAACACACACACTAAAATGCAACGAGCGCACAACACGAACATGAACATCGTGCACATAAAAAAAAACATCGTAATGTTCCTGAACGACAAACAAGTGTATAATTACAGCATTATTATGCGCATGAATAAATGATAGCTTTAATATTATGAATGCGCGATATAATTAATTGTAATTGAACAGTTTTTTAAAACACTGGTATTATCTCACCCAATGCTACACACCGATTTGATCAATTCTGAAGTGCGATTTGTTCGGCGATTAAGCTAAATGTCGAAGACACATCACATTGCAAAATAAAAAATCATTTGATTCGTTCGAATCATTCTATTATTATTATAAACAAATTAAGCTACAAAACCACACATTCCATCACATTTTATAATGGATTCAATGTGTTTGTTTTCCATATCACACACTTCTATCTCACACAAGTGCTATTTGCTCGTTTTTTTTTAATTCATTGTATTTTGTCAATGAAGAAGATAGAATTAAAGAGATTCAACAGGCACGTGTATTGTTTTTTTTTTTATGTTTTAAAATCAAAGGCATCCATTGAGATTTCATCGCATCTAACGATAGTCAGATTTGATGTGAACGCCGTACAGTTTATGTCAAGGTGCAGGCAAGAAAAAAAATTGCATACACTTTTATTAAACCACATTTATCTCGACGGAGATGTTGATTGCAAAGCCTGACTCTTACTTGCCTAATTATTATGCGCGCGGCTGCAAAAAAAAACATACACACAAACGAGGAATAAATTATAAGCAAAGTCATTCAGAGTCGCGGGTCCCATTGAGGTCAATAATGTGTGTGTGTGCGCGCACACCGTTTCATTCGCTCCCGTTGTCGCTCTCGCCAATCTATCGATCATTTTTTTCTTCTTCTTATTTTCATGCACATATGTGTATATTCTATATCTCATTTACCATATTGCAGTGCACATTATATCCTTATGGCATCCATCCAAATGATTTCTTCATTTTAACTTACTCCATAATCATAAATTGATTCACCATGACGGAGAAAGAAAACAAACCGTGCGCACACCAATCACTAATTAAATATTTATATTGTGTTTTCTTCGAAATTATGGACACTATTTGAAGCGAATTGAGAAATTTGTTTAGCGTCTTAAATTTTGAGCATGCGTTGGTCGACGTATACAAAATTCAAACGCCCATCAAAACCACTGAAAAATGATGATGATGATAATAATAACATAACATTTATTTGCGTAATATTCTGACTGACTGAGCTAAAATTGAGAAAACATGAACATTTTTAGCAGCACGGTTATGAAATCGCGTTTGATTGTCAATGACATGAAAAAGAAAGCTACATATACAAAAATCACACACAAATTTATAACCGAAAAAAATCCAGAGAATATTAAGCAACGAAGAAAATTGTGTTGTCGTTTGTTTTGCATCATTCGACCGAAATTGAAATGTATTCTATATTGATAAAAAAGCGCGGCTGATAACTGGTTGCTTGCTTTGAACCATGCGTGACTGTCTAATTTGGTTCTTCTCAGTTCTTCTGTAGAAATGTATTATAAGGAAAGATAGAATAAATCTCTCTTAAGAGTCCGTATCACTAGTTTGAACATGAAATGCAAACTGTTGCACTCTTTTTTCATATGAAATACCAAAAAAAAGAGCATATTTCACGTTGAGCGCTAAAATTCAAAACAAAAAAATCCTGTTTAGATGTATTGAATTTGAGCTTAAGTACGATTTAAATCAATGCCAACAAGGAATTAATCGCCGATTTGTTTGAGTACAAAGGGTTTTGACGTTCGTACTTAAATTGACTGGAAGAGTGAGATAGGGATAGATCATAACAAAGTAATAATAACCAACAACAACTAAAATTATATGAAATATTACCGAATGTCACGCATCGTCTAAGTATTGTAATATTAAAATCGCTGTGGATCGTGTGTGCATGATATAGAAACACAACAGTGAATGCGAGACTGCTGAACATTTTCTATGGCAGAAAACACGAAAAAAAGAGTAATAATAATAATAACAACACAATAGACGAATTGAGTAAAAGAATTTGGTTACGCATACATGTTTATGTGATGCGCATTACGTTAAAGACGATCCGTCAACGTTGTTGTTGAGCTGATGCGCGTACATACATACCTACTCTATATATCGCATGCTTTGTGTGTTTTCGATTCCCGTTTCCATATTTTTATATTTGTTTTATATTTTGTTGTATTTTCTTTTTCTTTTTCATTTATGTTCAGTGTTTTTTGTTTCGGTGATTTTTTTTTGTTCGTGCGATTGTGTGACGAGACAAATGTGAAATTTGCGTGTGTTTGCATCGCTAACCAAATGTAAGAAATTACATTGCAAGATTGGGAGAGTCCCACAATAGTTAGCGAAGCACAAACACACACACACATACATTCAATAGAGAAACAAAACAGAAAACCCAACCGACCTGCAAGTGAGCAAGTGAAAGAGCGAATGAGATAGAAATAAATAAAGAATGAAAAAAAGACACACATAGAACTGAACTAGTGAATGAATGAATTAATGGTGAATGTTCTGGCACAATATATACATTATCATGGTATTTTGCGCGACGGATTCGCTTGCGATTGCTGTGTGCTATTCAAATTCAAAAAACCAAAGTGAATAATCGTGTATTTTCGCGGCATTAGAATAAGCGAAAGAAGAAGAGAAAAATATAAAACATATTCGGTGTCGGTGGCTTAACGCATTTGATTCTCTCAGTTTCGTTTGTTGGTACGCTGGTTTGTTGTAAAGATTTGAAACAAATTAAAAAAAAAACACACAATTTTTTCTTCTCGTTCGTACCAAAAAGTCATATATCCCCCATGCGACCACAGTTGATTGCTTCATGTGCCGAAAACATGTTGTGTATAGACCGACGACGACGTCGTTGTAATTTAAAAAAGAACTGTACGAATAACACTGGTGGTATGAATGTGGTTGTATTAGGGCTTGTATGAATATATAATGTGATATATCTTTTTTTTTTAGATATATATATATTTTGTGTTACTTCGTCTTCATTTGATTCATACTTTTAATCCATAGAGACGTCGAATGCAAACGATTTTTTCGGAAATCGGCGATCGGTACAGTGTGTGCATACAAGTTCAGTATTTAACAAAAAATTATCAACAATTCTTGCGCATTGCTATGTTTTCTGTGCTCTTTAAATTTTCTTGTGAATGTTAGCTCGGTTATTTTTTCTCTTCTCTCTTCATTCAAATCAAATTTGTTGTTGTTGTTGTCGTCGTCGAATCGAACTTTCCGGATTTTCTATCTAACATTGTGTGTACGTTATTCGTGCGGCGCCTTGGATTGTTTGATTCTATCGTAAAGATCAACAGATTCATTCTAGAAACGAAATTGTGTTCATTGATGAAAATTGAGAAAAACAAAAAAAAAAGATAGTGCGTGTGTGACCGATGTGTGTTTTTTTTATGTTTAAATCAAAATCATTCCAAATTAGATAGATGTCGGCAGATCTCATTAAATGTTTTTAAATTGAATGTAACATTTTTCATGGACGGATTTTTTTTTCTCTCTTTTTGTTACAATTTTAATGTTGTTGAGTCGGTCACCAAACTTTTAAACAAAAGAAAAAGAATAAACGAAGAGAAAAACGAGTGTCAATTAATCTGAACAAGAGAAGTGAAAGCAAAATACCCAAAGATAAATTCACTTCGACCCAAATTCATATACGTTGTGCGTCGAGAGATCTGAAAAAAAGGGAATAACAAATAGAAATATATAAATTCCGAAGAAATCGCATATTTGCCTCTGATCACAACAACAACAATAATTAAAAAAAAACAACAAATGAAAAGTGACAAGTACAGTGTAAGTAAAAATGAGTTTAATGGGTAATTATAATAATTTCTTCACAAAATCGAATTACTGTAAGCGAACAAAATACGCTGAAATTGAACAGCAAACAAAAAAAATAACATTATTAGCATGTAAATTATTGTTATTTTGTGAGTTTGTGATCAATTGGACGTTCCTAGAATTCGTCAGAATTTAAACACAATCGACTATTTCAGTAAAAAAAAAGTACGATTTTTATAGACCACTTAATGACACACTTCGTACATATATTATTTTGTGTTATGTTTTGCAAAATCGTAAAGCTGATAGTCGAAAGGTACCTACAATACCGCACACAAAATAATAATAGCGTTACCGGTCTGAAATGACACCAAAAAACACATGAAACGATCGGCAGTTAAACGCTATTTTGCCGATATCTGAGTGTTTCGGGTTCAGATGAGCTCAAACCGACTCACATTATGAATCATATTAATGATTAAACATGATTCGATCGTTTTTCTATATATATACACACATTTTATTTCCTTATTTAGATAAAATCTCATAAGTGTGGACATTTTGCTATAAATGTCCAAAAAAAAAATATTGTGCACAAATTAATACCAAAAATGTGTTCCGGATTCTTTGGGCAAAATCAGCAGCGATGTATCCATTTCATGTTAAAACGTGTTGAATATTGTCCGTACAATAATAAATTCAATTAATTTTGATGATTCATTTTGATACATACATGATTGATAGATTCTCATTCTTGTAAAAGTGAAATGATAAAAGAAAAGAAATAGTCAACGGGTCTACGGAGAAAACTATTTTCAATGTGATTGCTCATATCATTTATGACGATTGAATCATCGCTGGAACATTTTATCATTGCATTGTCATTTCCAAGAACCTGTTGATTGTACGTTCAATTACAGTCAATTAATGTTTTTTTTTTCTTTTATTATTTTTCTCGGGTGTGTGCCGCTTAACAAAATGTGAAGTTCGTGTTTTTTCGTTCGAAAAATTTCACAATCAAAGGTATGCGCTCAGCGTATACGCTACACTGAATCCCAAATTCATATATCGTACGAATTTGTCTGTTTTCGCTCAATTCAAATACTCTCGCAACCCAGTACAACATTGTGTGTGCACTGTGTTTAGCATTTTAATTACTCAATATTTACCGTTTAATTGTTCACAACGTTTTATTCAATGTTTCTTATTAATTTAATAAAATAACCGCTCCACGAATCCTTTCCCATTAAATATGTGCATAAAAAAAAATTTGATGTCTTTCAATGAAAATTGAATTTAAGATTTGAAAATTAAATATATATCAATTAGCATTGCTTGCAAATAGTGCACATTGAGCATATTATAGGTCTATCGCTAGACCATTTGCGGATTCGGAATATATTTAACGAAGCAAAAAAAAACGAGCAAACATCAAGTGTGGTTGTTATGCCAGTCAAATGGAAGTGGGCGAATTACTTGAATTGCTCCGAAGAAAAACAGTAAACACACAAAAAAACCGATCGTCGTGTTGTGTTCGCTTCTCGCTCTTGCACGTGCGATAGAAAGAAAAAAGAAACTTGTTTTCTCTCAGCTAGTGTGTGTGTTTGGTTGAAATCTGTGAATCACGAATACGTACGTAAAATGACCAAAGCCATGCATCTTCCATATTTGTACAAAAAAACATTCATAAGATTTGTAGAAATTAACTGGCAACTTCATTTAGATGAATCAATTGAGAGTCAAATATTCGTTTTAATTATATATTTTACTTTGTTTCGTTTATTATCGATGCTGTGTGTGTGTGTGTCAAATAAATAATTGGCTGCTCTTTTGAATTGGCGCACATTAATCATTTCGGACTGGCGCGCTGCCTAATCAATTCCATTTGCATTTCATTTATATTATTAATTTCATTTTATATGCGTGTATATGTTTGCAGATGCCAGAAATCTCAGATGCGGTTACAAGTTCCGGGCCGGAAATGTCATCAATCCTGGAAAATCTGCAACAGAAACATAAACTCAACACGACGACAACACGGCAAAATGTCGTCAATTCCAGTTCGAGCAGCATCAAAGAAACCTCCTCGTCGTCATCAACGTCATCATCGCAACAGGCAAGTACACACATTATACAAAATTGATTTAAATTAACAAACAATAAGGGTATCGAGAGGAAATTAAAAAAAAAAAAAAAAAAAAAAAACAAATGAAAAAACCCACAGCTCTGGTCTCCTACGAAACAATTATTATTATTGCGATAAATTATTCACAAAATCTCAACTAAAGTTGTCAATTTAAACCATTGACAACAGAGAGAACGGGAAGCCGCATTTAATGTTTTTTTCTGTGTCATGTCTGACTCGAAATAGATGCTAATCTTCCTACATTTTTTTTAGGTTTGTCGATGTATTATGTCGCATGCAAAATATATTTGTTCATTCGCATTAGCATATATTTGTTAAAAAAAAATCGTTGCCATAAATGAGTTTTGGGCCGACGTTCCTTTATTCTTGTTTAAATGCACAGACAGACACTTATTTCGGGATTGTACTAAAAAGCAACTAAACTCAATTGATTGAAAAAAAGAAGAGAAGATAGCAAATACAAATTTTAACTAACACCAAATAAGGAGAGGTTGTATGCTTCATACAATAGAATGGCAAATCGATTTTACATAGAAACTATCTCACATATGGGTTATTTTATGGCTATAAATCATTTAATTGTCATAAATCACATTACGTACGCATTGATAACAATCTTTGAAATTTCATTCATAAACTCAATTGACGGCGGTCAGTGAATGAACCGACTGTCACCCGATCCACTTGCTCGTATACATAAATTGTTCATGGCATTTTTTTTTCTCTTTGGAATGACATTTTTTGTCGGAAATATAATATGTTCTATGTATTTTTTTAAATAAGGTGTTGAACAGTAGCAGCACATCGTCGACAAAGTCAAGTACGACAACATCACGTGTAGCCAAAGCCTCATCATCACAAAGATTGCATCACATGTCTTCCTCTTCCACTCAATCGTCAACCGAATTGAAAGCAATGGCCCTGCAACGTGACATCAATGATATGAAAAATTCCATGTCAGAAATAAGGTGACCAAATCTTTGACATTTGCTTCTCAATTTGATAAAACTTCATATTAAAAAAAATTCATTTATTTTCTTGCAGTTCATTGGCAGCAATGACCCAGCCACCAATAACAGCCGAAGATATCACTTTGTCAAATACATCGACCATATCCGAATTGCAGAAACGGCTGAGAAGCTCTTTGGAGAATATAGTCGATGTGCCAGACGACGAAGAGCCTCTTGTTACGTTCCCCGACGAAGGAAATGGCCGAGAATTAGAATTAGATCTGAGGTGAGCACGCCTCATCTATTGAAATCGCAAAAAAAAAAATTAATTAACAATTATTTTTGGTTTCACATTTTCATAGACATGCCCAACAGTTAGTTCCAACTGCCTCAAATGAATTATGTGTGGCTAACGCTAATGACATGAATATGAATACAACGGATACGGTGAAATTTGAGGAGAAACGTACAATGTCAGCATCAAAAACAAAAGTTATCAAGGATGGTTTCAGCAGCGAACAGGTACATTTTTCATTTCTTAGCGATGGCATCGCGTTACAATTGTCATTAGCATCCTTTGACCTAAATCTTGTTCTCTAGTTTTAAATAATGTGACCGTTATATAACCCTTTTTTATCATCTTTTTCGCAGGCCACAAGCAATGCAAGTGAAATGAAACGATTACAAGCAGGCGATATTGACTACAAAGAAGCAATGGCAGCGTCAAAAATTCGAAACAAAATCGAAGTGGATGGAATAAAAGCTGAACAAAATGCATCAGTATTAAAGGTTCGTCTTACACAGTACATTTTTTTTTTTGAGCTTGTGTGTGTGTAACTGTGTGTATCTGCGCCCTCGTTCACATACCATAAGTCTCATTGCGACACTTTTGGCTAAATAATGTGATTTTATTTTTCACGCGAGTTTGCATGCTGTCGAAAACAAAGCAATCGATTTTTTTCTTTTTTTCTATGCTTTTTATACTGTGAAAGGATATGAATAATTTCATGTGAAGGCATGCATGCAACTTCAATCACATACCGATTCTCGTCTTGGGCACTTGTTTTTCCCTTTGGTGCAACCGTGGAACGAAAGTGTGGAGCATGCGCCCACCATTTGTGTCGGAAAGACCACCAAACAAAAAAAACTACATTGAATCAGTCAAATGGATTTGTTGATGTCATCAAAATCGTTTTTTTTCCGTTCGGCATTTTGTCATTCTATCCGTATACAAAAAAAAAACACGTAGTAAACAATGGAAATTATTGAGTATAAAATATTGGTGTAGCCTGTAAAGAAAAGAATCAAAAAAAATTGTTGATTAATTGAAATTGATGTCAATGAGTAATAAAAATCAGTTCAAATTACGTGGTTCCTGAAGCAATGTAAAGCCAAACAAAAAATTCCGAAAGATAAACATTGAAAATCAGAGCAATTGTGAGACAATGCTGAGTGCATGCAATTTTCAAATGTTGGTCACAAGTTCACGGTTTTTAAAACAAAATTCAGTGGTATTCCGGTACGCGGCTAATGCAAATCGGATCTATTATGCACGAATGGTAAAATAAAAATAAACGTCCTCAAAGTAAAGATTTAAGGGGGTGGGGGTGGTTTAATCGAGAGGGGTAAGCAAAAAATCCAGTGTAAAAAAAGGGTTTTTGATTCAAATCGGAAAAAATTAGCTTTCGAAAAAACAGCTCGAAAATCCCTGGCAAATCGAAAGAAATGTCAGAATGTGAAGAGTTGAAAAAGGTTTTCACCTAGGTTTTCACTTTTAAAATCGGATATTTTCGAAATTCTTGAGGGTTAACACTTTTTCAGGACCCCTTTCTGAGGACGTATGCATGGACCTTTGTTTTCAAGTTTACTAAGTAGATGATTCATTTTAGAAATATTAGACGATAGATATCCCAATTTTTGATGTGATTACAAGACGGCTGGAAATAAATTTGTCACTCTTCTGTTCCGCACATATGGCAAAATATGTATTTACATTTGAACTAACCATGCACAACGATCATAAATGAATAACAAAAATCGACCAAAGACTCACACTTCATATTATCAACTATCGACATCCTCGTCATATTCGCACTCATATCATATTTATAACACACAGCCAACTACTTCATATTAATACACCACGAATACAGCATTTTGTATGGCATTTTCGATGAATTGGTGCAAATGTATTTCTCTATATAATATATATTTTCTCTTGCTTCACCAATACGAATGTGTGAATGTAAAAATAAAGAGATAAAAAAAAAATTATTGAAACGAAGTTGAAATCGGTTGTGACTTTTTGGATGGGCATCGAATTCTCGGATGGGAGTCAGTGTGAGCTATTTTTAGGCAGTTTTGTGAGCGTCCGATATGTGCGATCACTTCATCGGTTTTCGAATCCGAATTATACCGTCACCAGTGTGCACTTCAACCATATATATTGCGCTTCGGTTGTGTGACTTGGTGTAGCGAACGAACACTGTGTGGTGTGTAATAATATAAATATAAAAATGAAGCTTCCCTTATCGCTCGTTCGGTTTGCAATAGGCAGTTTTCTCTAAATCGTTATACAATTCTCATCGTGTATTCTTTTCGGTACACACTATTTCGCAAATAATTGAAATTCTAGACGTTCTTTTAGATAATCACACTCGTTCGCGAACACGCACTCGAGTCTTGAAACTTTTTACGGTGCGTCAAAGTTGCCGATCAGTTCAATTTGTCAGAAAGTTCTTGAAAATTAAAGAAGCGGGAAAGTATAAAATTTTCCTTTGTTATGTGTTCTTTTTAATGTCTGTTGTGAAATAATAATTTTTGTGATTGTGAAATTAAGTAAAATAAAACCGAATTTGATACAGCAAACGATTTCATTGCACACGTAATTTGTGAGTGAAATCCCGATCGATTTCGAAGACGAAATCAGATCTTTTGTGTAGGATTTCGATCACGACACACAAAAAAAATGTCGAAAAGAGCACCGTGGCCCATACACAAGGTGTTTCGATCCCAACCTCACAATGACTTTAATCCGCAACGATCGCCCAGCCCAATCGTCGAAATGCCATTAAGTCCAGATCCTGAATCAGCAAATGGTTCATGCATGAGTCCACGATATCCATCAATGGAACGATCAATGTCACCAAGACGATCGCAAAGCCCATTCAATAGTGCATTGAACAAAGGCGTACGTGAGATTCCAATCGAAGTTGAACATGAGGTAACACAAAATGCAACACGCTACGCTTTAATTGCAACCGAAAGTCGCACATTTAATTTCGGCCCCGGAGTTCAGAGGCTTCTATTTCATGCACATCAACTTGAAATGTGATATATTACATTTTCTATACCTTTAAATATGCTTTCAATTAAAGCATTGTGAATCTTTATCGTATTTCACACATTACATCTGCTAATTGGTCTTTATGTATGTACAATATGCACATTTCGAATCGAATTCAATTCAACCGACAATCAATTCAGTGGGAGACCCATTTTAAAGTGCGCGCTATTCCACAAAAATCGTTCGACGTTTATCTTATCGCATTTTAATATGACTAAGACCATTCTTATACAGTAAACGCTCACCAACCCTAAGCCGTCTCGAGATTGGTTAACATTTCGAGTACAGTTGAAATTGATGTCAAAAATTCATTTAAAAATAGTAAAAATCAAAATGAATTACACAAATTGCCATTTATATTATTAATTAATTGGAAAGTGGTTCATAATATTCTTGAAAGTGGTCTATAATTTCCGACTTTTTCGAGAAATTCACCGCAAATGTCCGACACGAAAATATTCACTTGATTTTAAAGAATGTGTACTAAATTTGTCAGATGACTAATAATAAATAGAAACAGTGGCTGTTGTTTGTAACAAAAATGACTAATTTTCTTGTTAGTTCGAAATTTGTGATTGAAAAAAAATGTGATTTTTTAAAAATATTTTTTCTATTATAAAATTAAAAGCTCGAAAAACATAGCAAGCAATTTGTGTGTGTGTTATTTCCATTTTTTGAACCACAACGAATGTGCTTGAGATATCAGAATACAATAAGCATTGTGATTTGTGAGCGTCGACTGTTTGTCGCTTATTTATATTGTATGTTTGTGTTTTATCAAAAAAAAGCAACAACAACAGTTATTTGAAGTATAAAAGAGCGTAGGGAAAAATTTGAATTATTTTATTATATTCGGTCGCAGTAGAGTATCGATAACAGCTCAATGGTTGTTCTTTTGAAAACAAATGATATGAGTAATTTTTCTTTTCAAATTCCAATTAATTTTCTTCTGTTTTTTCTTTCGTATGCTAGGAGGCTAGGACATTTAAATCGGGCGATATTCAACAGCAAGAGTCGAATAATCGAGCGGAAGCTTCAATGAAAATCCACAGTGATACATTCAGTGCCGAAAATAAGGCGATGAAACAAGCACAGCAACGTCAAACTGTCACATCGACTGGTATTTTCAATCAAGAAAAGCATGTGTCGTCTGCATCACAATCCAACTATATGATCACAAGGAAGGGCATGTGCAGCCAGGGCAGCAGCATGATAACATCATCACAGTCAAGTAAAGCAACAAATAGTCATGTGTTTCTGGAAGGTTCGCAGAGTCTTGAAGATTTGGAAAAGCTATCATCGAACAGTAATCAAAAAGAAGTTGAAACGGCCATCGTAAAATATTCCCAACTCTTGAATTCCAATGTATCATTGTTAAAGCAATCGGAAGCAACAAAAGTGCAAAATGTGTTGGATTCCATCAATACAGTGATACAAAAAGCATGGGCTGTACCAACGCATGGCCATCAATTGGGCTACAGTCTTTGTAATACGCTACGAAAAAATGGTGGCTTAGATTTGCTGATGGAGAATTGTGCACAGCATGATAATAGATTGCAATTTTCATCGGCACGTTTGCTGGAACAATGTTTAACCACCGAAAATCGATCTCATGTTGTTGACCAAGGCCTTGAAAAGGTGGTACGTGGTGCATGTATATGCACAAAACATGCGACAACCGATCATTCACGCGTCGGCACTGGCATTTTGGAGAATTTATTCAAGCACAGTGAAGGCACATGTTCGGATGTCATTTCATTGGGCGGTTTAGATGCCGTACTATTTGAATGCCGAAAAAATGATGTGGAAACATTGCGTCATTGTGCCATGGCATTGGCAAATCTATCATTGTACGGCGGTGCTGATAATCAAGAGGCGATGATCAATCGCAAAGTTCCCATTTGGTTGTTTCCATTGGCATTTCATAATGACGACCTCATCAAATATTATGCATGTTTGGCCATTGCCGTTTTGGTTGCAAACAAAGAAATTGAAGCTGAAGTTTTGAAATCAGGCACATTGGATTTGGTCGAACCATTTGTTACGTCACACAATCCATCTGAATTTGCTAAATCGAATTTGGCACATGCACACGGTCAAAGTAAGCATTGGTTACAACGTTTGGTGCCAGTTTTAAGTTCGAATCGTGAAGAGGCTCGCAATTTGGCCACTTTCCATTTTTGCATGGAGGCTGGCATAAAAAAAGAGCAGGGCAGTACCGATATATTCCGTGAAATTGGTGCAATTGAACCGTTAAAAGCGGTTGCCAGTTGTCCAAATGCAATTGCATCCAAATTTGCTGCACAAGCCCTTCGTTTGATTGGCGAAGAGGTTCCGCACAAATTGAGCCAACAAGTTCCGTTGTGGTCGGTTGAAGACGTTCGAGAATGGGTTAAACAAATCGGATTTTTTGAATACGAAAAGAATTTCTTCGATTCACGTGTTGATGGCGATTTGTTGCTACAATTAACTGAAGAGAATTTACGAGATGATATTGGCATTGAAAATGGAATACGGCGTCGACGATTCAAGCGCGAATTGGAAAATCTGAAAAAGATGGCCGATTATAGTTCGAAAGATGTGGCAAACATTTGCTATTTCCTCCAATCAATTGGACAAGAGTTCACCATTTATACGTATGCCATGTTGAATGCTGGCGTTGATAAAGAATCACTGAAAAACTTGAACGATGATCAACTTGTTATGGAATGTGGTATTAAAAATTCCATTCATCGTGCGCGCATTTTGAATACAATTAAATGCATGGAAAATTCATTGGCTCTGTCCAACGAAGAGAATATGGACAAAACATTGGATGTTTTTGTTAGCTATCGAAGGAGTAACGGATCTCAGCTGGCTAGTTTATTAAAAGTGCATTTGCAATTGCGCGGTTTCTCAGTATTTATTGATGTTGAACGCTTGGAAGCGGGCAAATTTGATAATAACCTTTTGAATAGCATTCGTCAAGCGAAGCATTTCATTTTGGTTCTAACGCCGTCGGCATTAGATCGTTGCATTGAAGATGAAGAATGCAAAGATTGGGTGCACAGAGTAAGTATATTCCTGTTTCATTTTATTATAATACATACATTAATATTGTTTTTTTCTTTTTTAATTAAATCAGGAAATTGTGGCAGCGCTCACATCAAATTGTAACATAATTCCAATTATTGACAACTTTTCATGGCCAGAAGCAGAAAAATTGCCCGATGACATGCGAGCCGTATGCCATTTTAATGGCGTTCGATGGATCCATGACTATCAAGGTAAAACACTAAAAAGTTAAAAATAAACCATTTGAAAGATTTTTAATTCTGTTCAAATTTCATGTTTTATTTTTTCTTTTCACATAAATGGTCGTGTGTCGATGTACAGATGCATGCGTGGACAAGCTCGAACGGTATGCGAAGAAGTCTTCTATATTTTATTTACATTATTAATGAAATTAATTTTCAATTTCGGTCAAATAGATTCATGAGAGGTGAACGAGATACAATAATGGCCGCATATCGCTCGGCAATGCGAGGCGATGCAACACCAAACACACCAAGTACAGCATCTTCGTCGCGACAAAATCCATTGACTTACCAAAGAATGCATTCGAATGATTCCGACAAAGAGAAAGACAGTGGTCGAGCGTCAGATTGACTAAATGCCGCCCCCTCCACCAATTCAAATAGCATGTCCAAACCAAAATCATCATCAAATCAAAAGCAAAAATGGCTTACAACCACATTGCCAAGCGGCGGTCGCATTAACAAATGTATAAAACCGGTGCCTGCACCACGCAATGATGCTTACATCAAGTCGACGCGCAGCCAAAGTTTGGATGCCATCGATGGAAATGATGAAATTGTGAAAAAAATAAAAAATGCTTATTTGAAGGAGGGGGTCTCGGAAAATAATCTAAGTGCTGATGGTGATCGAAAAAATGTAATCGGTGAAAATGATGACGACAATACCAGAGCAAATAATTCAAATGCAAACATTAAAAGTAACACATTCTTAAATCGAAGTGAAGAGAGTAGCATTGGTTCAACGACATCATTGAACAATACTATAAATTCGGAACCAAATCCATCTGGTAGTAGTAGCATGCTGAATCAAGACGATACCAAATCCAGTTCAACCACATCAAGCGCTCAATATTCAATGACCGATAATTCAGAGAGCGAACCAAAACGTACATTGCTTAACAAATATGTGAAAAAGGTTAAATCGTTAATGAAAAAATAATCGATTGCGAAGTGACGAACGCAAAATATATACATTTTGCCGAACCTAGAACGTTCTTTTGTTGATCAAAGGATTTCAACATTTCCTTTATTTGCACATTTTAAATACCTATTGTCTATAAAATAGAATGGCCATTATTTTATTGTATCATTCAGCATATAATTCATGCGGAATCGAACATTTTAAACGTTTAGACTAAAAAAATAAGTAGATTAGTATGTATGATTCATTTTTTTCTTTAAAAACAATTATAAGGGATATTAACGTGATATTATTATTTATACATATTAGAAATGAATTAATGAGATGAGCTGAGATGAGATGAGATAAGATGAGACAGAGATGATTTTAATATATTAATATTTAAATAGATTTTAATGTCGTGTACGTCCACAATATTATTTTTCTGTATTTTTTACAAGGTTACGCTCGATTTTTATAATGCTTTACACAAAATAACATTAATATATTTACAAACAAAAAAAAACAACGCACTCAGTAAGCAAACACTCACGAGCCATTAAGAGTCAGGAAAAACGCCTGTCGTGCCTTCTCTGTTTTGATTTTTTTTTCTCACATTGTAAAATAGCTACAACAAACATTTTTATAGCCGTTTTGGAAAGGTGCAATTATCTTATTCTAGATGTTTAATGTTGTTTCTTTTTTAAAATTAAATACAATTTTCAACTCGAATTAATTTTGCTTTCTGTCCTCGCTTGACACAACCATTCTATTTTTACCTTGTATATTTCGTACAAAACAATCAAATTTTAATTCATCTAATAATATAAAAAATATTCTATTTATAACCGTCAATAATAATTTAAAAAAATGCATTCTTTGATTTGCATTAGATTCTTAATCTGTAAGTTTAAATAAATGTTTTCAATGTCCTATAAATGGCCATTTCGCCTGAAACAACCACAAAATTCTTTAATTTTATTTTTTTTTGTTCGCAAAAGAAAAATGCTTTTTGTACGAAATAAAAATTAATTTTCGTTGCAATCCTAAAACAAACAAAAAAAAGTTCCATGTTTTTTTTTAATTTTTCGATTTATTCAATCATTTACAATATAATGGGAAAAAATTGTATAATTATTATTTATTCGAATGATTTGGTGCTTCATACAATTTCAGCATGATGTCTTTGTAATTGAAATTTGTGCAAATGTCCAAGCAATTACTGGCACCAGCGATTGACATGAATTTTTCTGGTGTGGTCTGTGAAACAACGGAATAAATAGCCGACGATGAGACTGGAATTTCGGCCGTAACATCGCCTTTTAAATTGTACTGAAACAAATGATTATTATCACCGCCCAAGTAAACAATGTCATCGAGAAAGCCGGACACATGAATGCTGCTGTTAACATCGAAGACTGTTGAGCATTCGAGTGAGCGTAAGTGATAAAGGCTTGATTTTGGTCCACCGCCACATAACAGCCAATCGTCTGTAACGGCCACCGTACCTTGCCATTTACCAAATTGTGGCCGTTCCAGTCGTTCATCTTTCCACGGTTCCAATTGGTTGACGTATCGCTTTTCTCGTTTATCCCAAAACTTAACCGAACCATCTTCCGATGCTGAATATAAATTCGAATCAGCCATACCATCGATCCAATGTAAAAATCCCGTATGGCCGATGAATGTGCGAATTATTTTGCCCGTTTCTAAACTAATGGCATACATATTGTTGTCACCGCATCCAACATATAAAATACCATTCTTTTTTTCCAACCAAAAACAATTCATATCGTTTTGATCGGCCAAATTTTGATTGGCCAAAAATGTTTCCCATGTTTTTTTCGTCAAGCGATTTTTGTACCATGTATAACCACTGATGCGACCCGTATTCGTTCCAACGATTAGGAAATTCTCGAAAAAGGCCAAACTTTGTACTTGTTGCTTTTTGCCATTTTCGGTCACATTGAATACTTGAATTGGTTTTGTCAGCGAATTTTTTAGCGTGGTTGCCGTACTAATACCGGACTTCGTATCATTTGCCTGCAACGATGCACTGTCATAATTTTCATCATCTGGACTCACACATATTTGCGGTATACTATACGAAAATGTTATGGAAATTATAATCATTAATCAAAATACTTATTATCAAAGGGGGAAAAAAGAACTTGGGTCAAATTGCCGGTTTTATTTTTTACTTTGTTGGTTAGAATAAACCTACCTGTAAACGAATATTTCACCGAAATTTGTGCCCGCAAATAAAAATTCGCCACAACTAGAAATGGTCTGTGATAAGACATTATTGTAGAATAATTTTTGATATTCGGCCAACATTTTTTGATTTTGTTGTGCCGATTTGCTTTTTCACCATCAGATTTTAAGCAAACTATTTTTGTTTAGAATATAAAATGTTGTGGTGTTTGACAGTAGTACGAATTTGACACTGAATGCAACAGAATAGAAGGCAACTCCCTCTGTCGTTTTTTTTTTTCAGAGTTAACCATGATTGACAGAATGTCATACTGAATTGAAATATTGGGTTATGTTTGATTTGTATTGGATAAACATTGTTCCACATGCAGAAATATGACGGAAAAACCGCCGATAAAATTGCTCAGTGCAGCCGAACTTATTGAAAAAGTGAATTTATACGAAACCATTGAAGCTGATATTTTGATACGAGGATTGAAAGCATCATTTCCAAAGAATACAGACGAAGAACGAGCGGCAATCAAATCATACCAAGGTAAATTACATTTGAAATCTTAATAGAAATGTTAAAAAAATTGATTTTTTTTGTTTAAAAATGTTCAGATGATCTGCGTAAAGTGTTATCAATGGAGAGAATTGCAATACGGCATGAACGATCGACGGCTGTCATTGAATACGGTAAAATACGATTGACCAAGAAACAAGGAAGATGGGATATATTTCAATCATCCGGACAATATTTAGAGCCCCATTTGGCATTATTCTTAATAGAAATCGTATGTAATGACTAAATGTTTAATTACCATAATTATCATCTAATCAAGTGTTTATTCAATTTAGAATAGGCTTGAGGTATACCTGGGCAAAGTGATTGTATCGTTAGAGAGAGCTTATCATATGTTTCTCGCACACGACAATAATTCCGAACATGATCGAAAGGAAAATGACAAATTGACCCAATCGGAATATATAATTTTTGCCCATTTCATGCGCTTCGGATGTAATATCAGACGATTCAAGAATGAATGTGTAACTGTATCATCTGAGAGTAAAAGTAATGCTAACGATGCAACGCAGTCAGATGCAGACATAGAAAAATTATACGTTTGGAATTATCTGTACGAATTGCTTGGACATAATAAATCTGTAATCACATCCAAATCACTTGATACGAATCGTTACAATGCTGTGAAAAATTCAATGAACGCCACAATTGAGAAAATTAAAAACCCAAATGACGGTGATGATGACGTCGAATCGAGTAAAACAAATGTAAATAGCGTTGCCGAAACCGGTGACAAACGAAAAATTGACTGTAAAACCGGAGAACCAGCCTCCAAACTAAATCGAATAGACCATAAACGAAACACGGTTGAACAGTATTTTGGAAGTGGATCGACCAATGATTTTATGGTGGGAAATACATTTCAACGGTTTAAGCAAATTTTCGATCAAATCGATTATATTAAAGTCAAGCAGCCCGAATCATTTGTGGACCAAAAGCCAATCAATGAAAAGATTTCATTTGATTTGTGGGCATCGTGTGATCATCGAGAGCCACAGCTCAAAGGTCCCGATTTTCGTCTAATTGTCTTGTAAGTCATGGTTGAACCGTTTATATTTTTTTTAACAAAATGCCATATTAATTTTTAATTATCTCATGATTCATTTTTTTTTAATTTATTCTAGACAACCATCTAAATCACTTCCCCATAATGATGATATTTTTCGACTCTACAATAGTTTAGTACATAAGTCAGCAATTGTTTTGGTATGCATTAATAAGGAAATGTCATTTCAGGCATATGTTTATCGGTTTACAACCTAAAATTAAGCATTTTCAGCTTTGAATCGATGATTTTCTCTATCCAAATCTGTGGATATAAAAAAAACTGAACGAAAAAAAAAAAACAATAAATGTATTGTGTTAAATAATTGATCATTATTAAATTCATTGGCTTATGGTAAATTCACCTTTTTTGTAGTCAACATTGCCGCCGCCTCGTGCTCCAAAAACAAAAACATAAACACCAACACAGTCGCATTCATTCAACAACATTCACACGCGCGCAACATCTAAGGCTTACACAGCTATCGACAGTGATGGAAGCGATAGCAGTGTAGCACGGTTTTGTTGGTGTGTTTGTTTGTGTGTGCGCGGAATCCGCACGCCGCGAATGTATGAATATGAGGAAAAATGCTGCACGCTGTGTGAATGTATGTGTCTATAAAATCGGGTTTGGTTCGCAATACCGACCATGCCCGAGCAACCGATGTAAAACAACAAAAACGGTTTGGGCGCTATTGGATAAATTCGTTCGCATTTACCATCAGTATTTGTTACACATTCCCACTGTATAGTGCTGTTTGTAACGGATTGCTTCTCACGCTTTATTGTTTTCGGAAAATTGAAATAAAAACGCAAAAGCACGTTCATAGGATATATCAAGCGAACCAGATCTTTCAAAATTGTGTGTCAACGAATTAAATCATCTTTTGATTAAAAACACCTGAAAAAATAATTTAAAAAAAAACATAAACGAACCAATTGAACAGAGAATAAAATGGGTTGTGGCATAGCAATAGTTAAATTTATTCTATTTGTTTTCAACTTGATCTGTGCGGTAAGTAGTTTTGTTTTTGTACTATGGAATCAATTAAATCTCTTTCTCTGTTTGTTAAATGGTTTGAAGATGAACAAAAAAAAAATGAAAACCATTAAAGGTGATTGACTATTGGGAGAAGAAATCAAGTGCTAATTGTTGTTTTTCTTCCTATTTTCGATTTGTTCGGAGTGAAGGTTATGACTTTACAGTATTTCAACATCGAATTTCTAAATTGAACTTTAAGAATGGTCATAAGAGAAAAATCTATAATTTTTGTCTCATAAATGAAAAGATGAAATGGTTTTGTTGAATGAGTTTTAGATTTTTCATTTTAAAAAAATGTTTACACGTCGTTCGTCACATATCTGGTCCAAAATCTCGCGCGCGTCGCACTCTCTCACAACTCGTTGTTAAGATTGTTTTTTATTTGGTTATTATGGTGTTAAAATATCGACACGACATCAAAACAGGTTTATTGTGTTGCTGTTGTTATTTCATTGGAATTGTGTATGTGCAAACCGCAGACTTTCAACTTCATCGCGTTTAGTCTACCTCACTATCTCTCTCTCTCTCTCTCTCTCTCTCTCTCTCTCTCTCTCTCTCTCT